CGTGATTTTTATTACTACTTATTTTTGAAAATAAGTTGAAACGATTTACATTTTTAATAAAAAAAAGAATAGTATTACACGATAATCATATATTTTATTTTAAAAAAAATGCACATCTAAAATCATATTCAATACTTTATAAAATAATATTCATTGCACATATTTATTTTATATTAGATATGATATTTCACTATAAAATCAAATCATACATTATATGTTAAATATAAAAAAATAGATACTGAATATACCAAATCAATTAATTACACATATAAAATTATTGCAGTTATACAATATTACAGAGAATAAAATTATTGTAGTTAAACAATATTACAGAGAATAAAATTGCTGCACTTATAAAATCAGCAAAGTTGTTAAAGGATCTAGATACAAGTATCTAGATATAAAAATGTGGTATCTGTATCTAAATAGATTTTTGATTAAATTATCTGTATCAAGATATTATTTTAGACGATGTATCTGTATCTAGATCCATTTAAAATGTATCTTTTAACAACTCTGAAAATCAGGCACCGATCATATTGTAAACATATTAATAAGATTCAAATAAAAGAATAAAGAAAATATATAATTTTTACATTAATAAATCTCTCATTAACTTTGAACCTTTGCGCAAATATACAAGAATATCTTAGTTCAATCTGCTCTAATAGTTCTCGTTCAAATGATATCATTAAAAACGCTTCTCTTAATCAATATTAGCTCTCAGCTTATTTTTATAATTTTTAATTTGCTAAATGTTCTCTTGCAATCAGGCGTGTACACAGCGGGGGATGACAGGGACAAATCCCCCCCCCCTCCAAATCCAAAAAATGCAGATGCCGGATTATATTTTTCAAAATTATTATTATTAATTTATATTTGTTAATATTTATTCCTATCTCATATATATATTTAATTATATTTATTTATCACATTCAATTCATCTACTAAGTTATTTATCAATTAATTTCGAAAGTTTTACTTGGCGCAATATTTACCTATTATTTTCAAATTTTAGTGGCGTATTATTTATCAAAATTTCTAGGCATATAATAATTATCTCTTAAACTCCTTGTCGAAATTGCAAGCTTGTCCAATGAGATCGAGTCTTCGCCATCAAGCAGTAACAGCTTTTATGGAGTTAGAAGAGCCGATTATTAATGCTATTACTGAAATATCACAATGGCTTGAAAAAAATATTTCCTCAAAAGCAAGAAAATTATTGGATTCAATACTTTTTCCAAATTTTTTTCCTCATTAGAATGTATTATTTAATTATACAACTATTTTATGTAATACTTTTCAAAAACATGACATTGACTTGAATAAGAAGATGAGAATAGCGGAGAACATTTTATTAGAATTCAAGGAAATTAGAACTAATGTTGATGAAGAATTTCATATTTTATATTAATATTTGTCCCCCTCGACTTGCAGCAAGCAAGCTCATCGTCAAAACATTAATATATAATCAGTAGAAGAGTATTATAAAACAAATGTCCCCTCTCTTAGATACATTTATAACCCAAATGAATGAATGGTTTTTAATTCATCATGCAGCACTTACAAATCCACAGATATTACTTTTTTTATCATGAAGTTGTTAAAGTGTCTTATGATGCCTTATTAGCTGAATAACTATGATTAAAAGATTAACTATGGTTTATAAAGTCCCAAAAAATGCTATGGATGCTTTGCATTATTTCAAGCACATTTTAGATTATATTCCCAATGAATTAAAATGGTTATATATAATAGCAACTCTTCCCATTAGTAAACTAACGAGAGAACATTCTCTTTTTTAAGAAGAATAACAGAGCCCTGCAGAGGTACCATTTGCAGGACACGACCAAATTTTTTTTAAAAATTTTTTTCGAACGGGTTTTTTTTAAAAAAATTTTCAGGCCTGGCTCGAATTTTTTTAAAATTAATTATATTTATTTTTGATTTTTATAGCTAATAATGGCGATTTCAAATATACTGAATCTTAATTTTTTTTTCTTTTTTGGTATTTAGCTGATACTTAAAATCTGACTAAATAGCTGTGATTATGTATTAGGTTGACCTAGGACACAGCCTATATATTATATTTATACAAGAAAAATTAAATTAATAGTAAGGAAAGTATTTATGTGTTTATAATAGAAGATAATATTAAATTGTATAGTTGGGCAGTATTACGAATACCTGTATCTAAGATACAAAATCCTTTTGTAGCTTGTGCTCATTATCTTTTTGACATTTTTAATAAGATACTAGTATCTGTATTTAAGATCCTTTATTTTGAAAAGAATCTATCTTTTTCATTTTCATGACAAAAGATACAGATACAGATTCTTTTTAATATTCATGTTTAAAATTTTACATATCACAGTATATATCTGATTTTTAAAAAGAGTCTTATATTAATTTTCTTATTTTTTTCTGCCATATTTTAAATATATTGACAACCAAAATTAGCTTGCAAATCTACAACTCAGATAGATAAAAAATAACAACACCAAAACGAAATAAGTAAAGATTATATTTTATATATAAATGTAACTCGATATTTACCAATTTTATGTAATGTTTTTTATGATTAACATTCATGATAGTGAAAATGAAATTTAAATTATGAAAATAAGTTTTTGTGAATCAAATCCCAATCTTAAAATTTTATATGGAAATTTTTTTTAAAATTACAGGCTAGATATAAAACCTGTATAAACAAAAAAATGAAAATGGGTTAAACACAAATTTTGTTAAACATATTAAAGTATATTATTTATGTGTGGTTAAAAGGGGCATAGATTATCTTAAAAATTCAAGTTTACATTATTGTCTACCTTTATTAAACCCAGATGGTATAAGCAGAAGATTTTAAGAAAATATTTTCCTATGATTTGAATATAATGAGGCTTTTTTATATCAATATCACATCCATATTTTAAGAGGATTTAGTCGGATGATAAAAATACTTTCAAAATATATTAATAAAAAAAGCCCTAAATGTAGTACGAGAGTATAAAATCAAGCCCAAACCATAACACCAATAGACTTAACATCTAATAAAGAAAATGGTAATTATTATTTTTTTCGTGAAACATACGTTGCTGTGTTCAATAATACAAATGAACTGGTGGTTTTAAATTATATTAAAGAAAGTCAATATACATTATAAATGTTTAATTATTATCCTTCCAAAGGAATTTTTTTTATAAATATAATACTGCAATAAGGGTTATTTAGTTTTGGCACACTGTTAAGTACATTGATAAATTATTTGATTATCCTATAAAATAATGAATCTATTTTAAATACTCTTTTGCAAATTTATTTAAACTCACATTAAAAATACTAGTCTCCCTTACCTATCTATGTTAAAAATGGGCTATTACCAATATTAAATTCCTGATTATTATAACAAACTCATCATTAAATATTTTATTAATTATTGTAAATATTTATTCTTATATTATATGTGTGTGTTAAATTTTTAGACACAATTATGGTTCCTTCTTAGGGACTCAATTATAGAATTTTATTTAAATTATATAATTATAAATTTAGAAATTATATTATTTTTAACTAGGATTTATGTAAAAAAGAAATTTAATTAAATATTTTAATTGTGAAAAAAAAATGTTATGTTGTTCACAAATAAATAATAAAAACGGTATTCTATAAATTATTTTAGTTTAATTGGTAATAAGATACTCTAATTAAGCAAAACAAGTATCTTTTATCTTGTTTCTTTTTGATAAAAAAGATACTTGTATCTGTATCTAGGATTCACTTTTTTCACTAGGAATCTGTATCTAGATTCTTTTTCCAAAGTACATGCCCAATATATTAAAATGTAATAAAAGAATATGTATATAGAATATTAGAGAAAGGGGAATATTATTTTTGTTGAAGTTTGGGCAGTAGAAGTGATGATAGCAAAGAATTTTATTTTTATAACTAAAATGAGATTATTTGATTTTTGTTATATTTACAGTTAAACTGCCAAATTCATGAACTTGATAATTCAGGCAACTCCCTAATTTGATTAAAATTTTGAACCACAATAAATTCCTATTAACTACTATTAGAAAATGCTTCTATAAATTAGGCAACTATTTACTTTGCAGATTTTTAATTTTTGTCCATTTTGTTAAAACTTCTATAAGGTGGGAATTTGTTGTTTTTTTGTATTAAAAAATTTTATCGGATGGGTTCGGTCCGGTGGTAAATATTATTTTATTTTAATCATATTTATTTACAGATATAACTTACATTAAAGAAATTAAGCTTAAAATCAGCCATCACCCACCTTTAAAGTAATTAAATTATACTGTAGTTCTCGGGTATAGGCTTTTTCTTTGTCCCACTCCTTCTAAATTAAAGCCTATAGAGGTTTAAGCAACATTTTTCGAAATGTTGTGCCTACAAGTACGTGCGGCTTGCCCACAAACGTGTGGAGGGCTCCTCATATTTTTATTTTTATACCCAAATTAAATTGTTCCAATTAGATGGAAATGAGGAAAACCTAGCGTAGCTCTGTTGAATCTTCAACGTTAGAGGGCAAAAGCGCTATATATCACGTATTTTATCATCATGTCAAATAACAAAATTAATAAAGAAAATGTCAATTAAAAAATTTAGATTATTAAATTTCTAAATCATCATACTCAAAGAATGTACTAAAAGATTTAATATTTCTAAAGGAACTGTTCACAATATTCATAAATTCAAAGAAGAAATTATCAAAAGCCATGTAAATAAAACATATTGTACCAAATAAAAAATAACATCTTATTTTATTTAATAATTAATTTTATGTTTTTATTCTTATTTAGTATATAAACATATAATAATTTTATTGTTCTTATTATGTTAAGGCTGTGTCCAAAATCTAAATAATATAAATAAATAGATTTTGAAGAAAAAATATTACAAGCTATTTTTAATATAAAAATAAATTTCATTTTTTGGTATAAAAATTAGTAAGTACAATTTTTTATATAATGCTGTTATTTTTTATAAATTACTAACACAAACGATTATAACCTTTTAAATTAATGTATATTTCAGTGTAAGAAAATAATTTTATAGAAAGCATAAGAGTAGCACAGGAACCTCTTATGCAAAAATGACTTAAAATTTAAAAATTCTGTAGAAAATAGGAAAAACATATAACTTCAACTATGATCAAGCGAGGAAGAAATATTTAGCTGTAAAGTCTAAATTTAATATTTTATTCTCTCATCCAACAAAAATATGGTAAAAATTAAAATTATATATATAAATTATAATATATCTTAATAAAAGGTGCTGGTGCTATTAATATAAAAAGTAAGGATCAACTATATGTTGAACAATATTTATGGTTAAAAGAAAATGTTGATGATAATACTAAATATTCTGAGTTAATATATTTGTACTAGTAGATAGCCAAAAATGACGGGGAATGAAAATTTTCTTCTTACTTTTATGCATGTTACCTGTTATTCGAAAATGATATTCAATTTTTATTCTTCTTACCCCGTCATCCCTTCAGGTCAGGTATAATCCATTAAAACTAAGTGCTAAGGTTTGAGGAAAAATAAATTTAAAGCATTTACTTGATAATACCAATATTATTTGTTAAATATTACTGATTACTTATACCTAATATTTAATATTAAAATTTCCAGGCAAAGTCCAAAGCCATATTAATTATGAAAATTCTTCCAAGCCCAATGAAAGATCATAATAATTTTGGTAGTTGAGAACTGAAATAAAATATTTAAATAATCATAATGAATTTGAAAATACAATCAAAATTCAGATTTTCATGGGCCTTGGTTTTTTGATCAGGTCAAGCCCAGGCCTGCAAAAAAATTTGTTTTGGGCCAATGTCTGACCTATAATTAATAATAAAAAAATTCTCAAGTGTCCAAGCTCATAATAATTTTGAAAAATTTTCCCCAAGCCCAGCCCAATATAATTTATAAAAATATTTTCCAAGCCCAGCCCAACCCATAATAATTTTATAAAAAAATTTTCTCAAACCTGGCCAACCGATAGTAATTTTCCAAGCCTGGAGATTAGGTTAATCTCTAAAAACCATATCTATTTTTTAGTCTATTATAACCTAGCTCACTCCAACCAAGGCCAACTCAACACATGGTTTTTTGATCAGTTCTGGGTATGTCTGCAAAAAAAATTTCAGGCCAATCTATAAACCCATATTTATAATTCAAAAATCTTAAAGCACCTATATTTTAAATTTTATTAAATATGATTTCCATCACATTCTTAAATTTTGATATTTCTAATACATGCTCACAGTATACATTGAACAATTTTACCTCTTTTACTTTTAAATTTTAATATTTATATAAAATTTATTAATAAAGTATATTTAATACCATACACACAAACTAAATAATTACCCTTATAAATTATATTATATTCAAGTTGGTGCATGCGTGAAACTTTAATATTTTAAATTTAATTATATTCAAGTTGGTGCATGCGGTAAAGCATATGCCTTTGAAACGGGAGGCTCGAGTTCGATTCTCGTAGACAGCAAAAAATTAACATTACATTATATAGTCTCCTTAAATTTAAAATACATTATGGAGATATGAAAACGATCGTGTTATGTGTTATGATTATGGAGATTATATATATTAGATTACTTGATATTTATTTTTGAATAATAGCTAGATCAAGATATTAATGCTAACAAAGAAAATGATAACCACATTTATTAATAATTTAGATTCATTTATGTAAATTATCCCTATTTTTATATTATATTATTTCTATTACAATTTTATTATATTACTCAAATATAATAATTTATATATATTTTGTGGAAAATTATCTTTCTAAATAAAAGTTATTATTGGTTTTCCAACTGTTTATTAAATATTAATACAATTATTTACAACATATATGTATTTATTAAGTATATAAATACTATTTAATTATAACCATTATCAAATAATAGGTTCATACATAGTTTAATAACTGAAAGGTAATATAAAATAATAAATACAATTAAATATTTACATATCTTTTAATAAATAACTAATAATTGAATCATATCAAGCATTTTGAATATTTTAATTTTTATAAAACTTGAATGTGTCCAAAATATTTTGTTATTAATTTGCAAAAATTTTAAAATTTTAAGAATTTTTTCAAAACATTTTGGACACATAATACATTCTTTTGATCAGATTTTGATGAATTAATATTTAATACAAATTATTCGAAAATAGTTGAACCTAATCTTACTTTTTGCTTACTAAAAATATGACAGATGGTACTATGTTTTTTTAAAAAAGTAAAAGGCCTTGATAAAAAATTCTTGGTCCCAGCAGTGTCTAAATTAGACAGGCTTGCCATAAAATTAATTTTATAATTATCATTTTTTAATATTATTATTTTATTTTTTATATTAATCTAATTGTGCTTGGTTAAGCCATTCTTTTATATGATTTTTATTTAGAGAAATATTAATGAGGAAAATTTTGTCAACATTATTTCTATGAATATTTACTTGTGTAACATTATTCTATTTTATTTTTATTATTATTGGATTTATATTTTAACGCATCTGTATGATTGTATATTAAAGTGTCGCATTATATTTCTAATTTTATATAGGTGATTAATTTATGTAATGAAAGGATGTTAGGGTGATTCAATACCAAATCGATAACTTTTCGCCCCGACCTTTTTAATTTTTATAAATTTTGCATACTGAGAGAGAATCATTAGAAAGCATGAAATTCAAAATGTTAGCCTCCTAGTATTAATATTTCCTGAGTTACTAATGGTTAAAAGTGCCAAAAATAACCTTTTTCAAAAAATACGATTTTTAAAAATTGTGATAATTTAAAAAATAATGATGCTAAAAATTATATCTTATTATGTAACTCTAATAAAAACTTTTTAGTAAATATTAAGGAATTTTTTAAAATAATGTTGCTGTTATTATTTACATTATAAATTTCGAACCTGAAAGCTCTAGATGTTTCGCTTTCCGAATTCTTTGAATTTAGTATTTTATTATTCACTTATATCTATTTATAAAATTTTTTTTTAACTTGTACATCAATAAGTTTTTTAGCTATTGCGATTTTTAAAAAAATATTTTTTTCAAGCGCTCCTATATAAAAAGGTATTTTTGTTAAAAAATCATATATTTTTTTATCGAATTCGCTATTATTTTTATAATCGTATCACATATTTTTTATCAACGAATCATATATTTTTCAAATTTTATCATAAAGTTATCATCATAACGCTCTATTTTTATATATACCTATTGGCTTTATTTTATAATAACGCTGCGTTAAATAACGCGACGCTTGAACAAAACGTGTTCTATAAATGCGGCCTTACATTAAATAAATAAATTTTTTCGAATTTTAAATAAATAAATTTTTCCGAATAATTTATTTACATTTTAACTAATATTTATTCCATTTTTAAAATAAATTTTAATTTAAAAGATTATTTATTCTTATAACCTTTAAAGTAGTGTTTCATGGCAATTATATGGGTAAATTTATAAATAAATATAAATTATTAAAATGTTTTCTGAAAATCAACCTGTTTAAAAGAACTACAAAGATTAAAATAAAATTTAATATATATTATTAGACACTTTTTAAATATATAAAGCTTGAATGCATTCATTAAATAAATTTTAAAGATATTATTCACCAAATAGAAAATTTTATTTGAATTTAAGCTTGTGGCCAAAAGTTTTTATATATTTTTAGGCTCAAATTCTGCTTTTTAGCCTATAGCCAAAAAAAGTATAAATGTAAAGTAATAAAATCAAAATCTAATTGGTTTGCCATAATTTCAGATAGATTCAAATTATTATTTAAATAAAAAATATCAAAACACCTTTTTCTGTTTTATTTTTTAAGCCTTACTTTGCCCAATATAAAAAGAAATATAACCCCAGTGTGACCTAAATTTTAAAGAATAAAAATCAATACTCACTTTGAAATATCACTTGACTTATTTTACCTACATATTTATTAAATATTTTACATTAAAGCCACGCCAGTTAGCTCAGAGCCAAGGATTTTTAGAAAAATGTTTATTTTGACGTTTAGACAATTAATTATGCACTTTCTAAAATATTCTGAATACCGCCATTTTGTAAAAATTAGAAATTATTACTTTTTTAAAATATTAAAATTTGTTGGGAGAATTTAAAGTCACAATATTTTTTTAAAGTTTAAAATTAGGCAAATTTTCTTCTTTTTCCTTCATTAAAATTAATTATGGTTCAGGCGACTGGAAACTTTTACTAAATTATTTTATATCTTCATGATGTGGTGAACCACACAGACCTCTAATAGCTGAAAGGGAAAATTATCAATTTATAATACAATTGTATCAAAAGGACTTTTTACCTAGGAGGGGGGGGTGGTAAGGTTTAATCCATCTTTGACTAAGATTGTAAATTTTAATACATTTTAAAAGTATACTAAATTTATTATTCTGAAGATTGAGATTATATATTAATATATTAAATGAATAGTTAATAAAATAATATCATTTTATAAATGAATAATAGAATTGATAAAATACCTATTATATTACTTTCAAAAATGCAACGAGTATCATCAAAAGAATTATTTAATACAGGGATATTTGATGCTAATTATATTATTCAAAAATAATTATAATGTTATTTAAAAAAATTAAACAAATATAAAATTACCTTTCAGCATTTAATGTTACACTTTGAAAAAAAATATAGAATACATTTTAAGCTCGTTTAAGAAAACGTAAAAATTTCCGCGGAATTTTATTTCATATTTTTTGGGGAAAAAAATATTATAATTTTCACACCCATAAATTCTTTTTATATCTAAAATTAATATAAACCAACCTTAAAATAAAAATTTATTAGCAGTTAAATTTATTTTAAAAATAACTGATTTATATAATTTTTTCTCCCATTTAAATCTATAAAATATAATTTTTTTAAAAAAGAACCTTTAAAAATAGAGGAGTTTACAAAAACAAAAATGTATCACATTTTAATTCAATTTAAAATGGTTCAGATTAATTTTTGCATCTATTAATATCGAAATTAATTAACCTAATTATATAACTTAAAAATTTTTTTTTATAATATAACAGTACTTGAACTATATTTTTTTAATATATCAGGTAATAAGCTAGTAAATTAGTACAGTATATATATATATACATACATACATATAATGTGGTTTTAATGTAATTATTCATTTTCA